CTGTGGGGCCAGGAGTCTCCGTTTTTACCTTATAGGGCAGTTTTCATGCCCAGGCTTGCTTAATCTATGGTTTCCTGGAAGGGGGGAGAATAGCAGGCGGGGGTCAGGGCATGTCTAGGCCTGTCTAAAGCAGCAGCCAAGCATTTTACAGAAGCTAAAAGAGCAATTAGTGGTGGTCTGGAGGGATTTGAGGATAGCGGGTGAATGAAGAGGGTCTCAGGATCCTACACTCCCTGCTCCTTAGTGGGAAGTGATGGCAGAGTCACTGTGCAGTGTGACTCCCTAGAATGACCGTGACTGAGAGTGCTGCCTTCTCAAAGCTTGGTTTGGACGAAGTAAGACTAAGGGGTGGGGGTGGGGTGTGAACTTTTCATCCCTCAGTGGTTACTGCATCCCTCTGGCATGAGGCCATGGCTGCACTGTGATCAGTCAGTACATATGGAATTAGAGACAAGAGAAGCAATGACCAAGGAAGAGCACACTTTCTGCTCAGCAGCCTATGCACGTTTTTCTAAAATTGACCACATTCTAGGACTCTCAATAAATACAAAAAAATTAAAAAATTCCATTCCTTCTATCAGACCACAGTGCAATGAAGCTTATTATCAACAATAAAAGAAGCCTTAGGAACTACATGAACTCATGGAGATTAAACAACACATTCATGAACGTGAATGGGTCAAAGAAGAAATTTAAAAAGAAAAAACAGTATTCCTAGAACTAAATGAAAATGAGAATACAACATAACAAAACCTCTGGGACACTTTAAAAGCAGTCCTAAGAGGGACGTTTATAGCTCTTATTGCTACATTAAAAAATCAGAAAGGGGGGCTGGAGAGATGACTCAGTGGTTAAGAGCACTGATTGCTCTTGCAGAGGACCCAGTTCGATTCCCAGCACCCACGCGGTGGTTATGAACTGTCCTTAACTCCAGTTCCAGGGAAATCCAAAGCCCTCTTCTGACCTCCGTGGCATTGCAAGACACGGGTGCACTCACATGCATGTAGACAATACACTCATACACATGAAATGAAAATAATAAATAAAATATTTTTTAAAAACTCAACACACTGGAAAGGCAAGAACAACCACCCCCAAACCTAGTAGATAAGAAGAAATAACAAAAATCAGATCTGAAATCAATGAAATATAAATAAAGTAAACAATACAAAAAAAAATCAATGAATCCAAGAGCTGGTTCTTTGAAAGGTTGAACAAAATAGACAGACACTTAGCCCACTTAACCAAAAGAAAGAACAAATCCAAATCAACAAAATCAGAGACAGGGAAAACATCACAACAGACACCAAAAAAAAAAAAAAAAAAAAAAAAAAAAGCCAAAAAAAAAGAAGAAAAAAGCCAGAACATTTTAAGGGAATATTTCAAAAATCTATACTCCATTAAGTTTGAAAATCTAAAAGAAATGGACGAATTTCTAAAATCATAGACATCACCAAATTTAAACCAAGAGGATATTAACAGTTTAAATAGACCCATAACAAATAAGGAAATTGAAATAGTAATACAAAATGTCCCGACTAAGAAATGCTCAGGCCCAGATGGATTCACAGTAGAATTTACCAGACATTCAAAGATCTACAACAGGAACAGGGTAGTAGGCAGGGTGGCCAGGGTAGCAGAAGGGCTGGTCTGTGTCAGGCAGATCAGAAGCTAAGGGAAGATGGGGGTGGGGACCACCTGAGGTGGGACTTAGCAAATTATGCTGCGGCAGGGGGGTGGGGTTTGGCTAGTCTGGGTTAGGGAACTAGTCCAGAGATCTGAGGCAGAGGAATTGGAGTGGACCTGGGACCAAGGCTAGCAGGGAACAGGGTGGGTTGCATACATTTTAAGTTTTAAGGCTACAGGTGAGTGGAATAGAGACGTGGCAGGCAGGATCTGACCAGAATCCTAAATGTGCTGATGTGCGTCAGGCAGATCAGGAGCCAGGGGAAGATGGGAGTGGGAACCAACTGCCGAGGAACTTAGCAAACTGTGCTAGAGGATTGAACTAGTCTGGGTTGGGAACCTAGTCCAGAGATATGAGGTAGAGGAATTGGGGTGGACCTGGGACCAAGGCTAGCAGGGGACAGGGTTGGGTGCAGCAGATTGTTAGTTTTGAGGCTACAGGGGAATGGAATAGAGATGCAGTGGGTAGGATATAACTTACCAGAGTCCTAGGTGGGCCAGTATGTGCCAGGGAGATCAAGAGCCGGGGGAAGATGGGGGTGGGGACCACATGAGGAGGGACTTAGCAATTAATGTGAGATTAGCTATTCTGTGTTAGGAAGCTAGTCCAGAGATCTGAGGCAGAGGAATTGGAGGAGGCCTGGGACCAAGGCTAGAAGAGACAGGGTGGGAGTGGGGCAGAGTGTCGATCATCTCTCAAGGACTCCGATGCTGGGTATTTCACTGATTATGGCAGCTTTGTACTGGAAGGAAAGTATATGATTGGGTATTCCTTGGTAACTCTAAAGTCTGCCATTGAGGCAAAACCCCTCCCAAAAGGGACCTCAGCACAAAAGGCAGAGCTTACTGCTTTAACCTGCATCATCAATTGGCAACTTTATTTGTAAATTTTAATTAAATTTTTGTGATTTTCATACACTATATTTTGATGGCATTTAGATTCTTTCCCCCATCTATACCTCTCCTTATTTCATCCTTCCCAATTTAATGTAGTATAATATGTATAAGGTCTATAGTGTCTAAGGTGTATTTCCAAATGTCCTTCAGTGTAGGTCCATCCACTGGAGACTGGATAACCTGCCAAGAGTCTCATCCTTGAAAGAGACTGTCTCTGCCCCTTCCTGAAGCCATTGGTTGCCAAAAAGTTCCTTCAGTTGGGTTTGGGTTTCTTACTCTCTTCCCCATGTCTATGCTGGGATTTTGTCTGGGGCTTGCATGGGACTTGGGCATGCTGTCACTATTGCTGTGAGTTCATATGAGCAACAGACCAGCTGTCTGGAAAACTGTGTTTACTTGTGGTGATCTACCACCTCTGGCTCTTACAGTCTTTCCAACCCCTCTTCCACAATAACCCTGTTACAATTCTTGTTATAGCTAGGTTAGTTGACCAATTTTAAAATCGCCAAGTTATACACTTGCCTCGCTTGCGCACGCAGTAACAGACTGTTGATTGGTAAATTCAAATTCTGCTATGTTGTACAAACCTGATTGGCTCACAGATGTTCTGTTTAAACTATGCTTTCTGTAATCTTATAAAAACCCTAAACGGCTAACGTTCAGGAGCTGTTTCTACTCCTGAGACAGACAGCCCACCAGTCATAATAAAATTTTACCTTGCTACTTTCTACTGAAATGGTGTTGGTGATTTTGTGCGAACTCCGCCCTGCAACATGGACGAGGAGATGATAAACTCTCTCAGATCAGATCTAAGAAGAACTGGGGTAAGGGTCTTGCCTTCCTGATCAGGTGACGACTGTACCTGAGACTCCACAGGCTGCGGCCACCTTCCTTCCACTGTCCCTCACTCACAAGGCATTTCAGCAGCACTTGCTTCCACAGCCAGGTGGTGCCACCCTCAGTGCCAGTCAGACCCTGATGTCCTGCCAACCACAGGTGCTGGTCTGTAGCATGTGGTGGGCTGAGTTGGGCATAATTTACCTGCTTCAGCTTAATGAGCCCCATGAGGTTTGGGATGTCATACCTTGTACCTTGTAAAGGACTGCCTGGTCTGTCATCAGGTATTGGGAGATGTCCTAGGTTCTCTGGTAACAGTTCCATGAAGCCTCCAGGAAAGACTTATTCCACTGTGAGGCAATTTTTTCAAGACCCTCAAAGCTCTGCGTGCATGGCATGTCAGTTGACTGATGTTTCTACATCTCATCATTGTGCACTCTAGAGCAGGGGGCACTGGACATCTGTACAACACAAGGCCCCGCACAACATAATCACTATGCACTGTTCATGAAGAGATCAGATTCCAGATATTGATGTTCCTCCACTGGGTAAGCACCTGGAGAGGGAAAAACAGAGGAACCTCTGAGACTGACCTACCTGGACTATCTGGCTTTCCCTTACAACTTCTGGTTAAATAGTAAACACTGCAGTTTGGTAGGAAGCAGAGGACAAAGGACAAAGGATAGCCTCGGATCCTTTATAAGGCACAGGTGCTCAGGCTGTGATCAGAGAGTCCCTCCTGATCCTAGGTGACTGGAGGAAGAATTGTGAGGTGTTCCCAAAGAAGTCTGGGGAGCTGTGAGGCAGACATGGGGCTGCTGACTGGGTATGGACTGTGGTCTGTGGCCATATTCATGGCCATCTTCCTGCTGTTGGTGGACCTGATGCACAGGCGCCAGTGTTGGACTGCCCGCTACCCCCCAGGCCCTTGGTCACTACCTCTGCTGGGCAACATATTGCAAGTGAACTTCAACAACATGCCCTATAGCTTGTACAAGGTGAGTTAAGGGGGCAGCAGAAGTCATGCTGAACCCAGCAGCACATGGTAGTTCTCAAGCCACAGGTTGGACACGGAGCTGGGCCCTTAAGAGGAAGCAGGCTAGCAGCTTCTTGGTGATGACTGCAGGGTCTGTGAACACTCTGAACTTTCCAAGGCAAAGGATTAAGAGAGCAAAAGCCAGCAGGTGGGGCAGGACATGGCAGCAGGGGTGGGATTCATTTGGACAAGGCAGACGTCAAGGAGGTCCCCACATCCTTTCTGACCCCATCAGAGCATGAAGTCCTGGGAATGGGGCAGAGATGTCAGAATCAAGCGCAGCATTTCAGCCAGGAAAGCCAGTGAAGAGAGGCCCTGTGGCTGCTCAAATCTGTTGCTGTTGTGTGGTCTTGGGCCTCATTGTGCACGTCAAAGAACTTGAATTCCCTCCTGTATGCTGGGATGCTAAGGGGGCTGAGAACAGATTCCTGGTGCTGGCAAGGTCACACTTGAATGATCATAGCTAGTATGAGTCTTTTGCTGAACTGGGGAGGATAAGATGCCCCAGCCACAAGGCACCAACCTCAGGATGGGAATATAGCTCCATGGAAGAGCATTTCCCTAGCTTGTGTGTGGCCCTGGGTTCTACAACAAGAAACATACACACAGCAAGAACACTGGTGTGCTGAGCCTGGTTCTTCCTGTGTTCTGTGGAGATTCAGTTCATATTTGCTCTGATGTTCCTCTTCAGCTTCGACAACGCTACGGAGATGTGTTCAGCCTCAGTTTTGGCTGGAATCCAGTGGTCGTGATCAATGGACCAAAGGCTGTGCGGGAGGCACTAGTAACCTGCGGAGAGGACACTGCAGACCAACCATCAGTACCCACTATTGAATACCAGGGCTTTGGTCCCAAATCTAAAGGCAAAGGACTGTGTGGGGCCAGAGATGAAATCAGGGGGAGGCTTGGCGGCAGTGAGCAGAGGAAGGAGAAGGCCAAACGGGGGTGGTGATATGGTCAAGCAATTCTCTAAAAAGTCAGTGAGATCTAGGGTGGAGCCCACAAAATGGGTCGATGCTAGTGTGTGGTGCCAAAGTTTTGGGGGTTCACGGGTGAGACTGATTCCTGAAGAGGAGATGAATGGTAGGAGCAGAGGACAGCACAGCCAGGAGTTCTTGGTCACACAGAATGCTTGTCTGCAGGTGTGATCCTCGCACCTTACGGGCCTGAGTGGAGAGAGCAGCGGAGATTCTCTGTGTCCACCATGCGCAACTTCGGCCTGGGCAAGAAATCACTGGAGGAGTGGGTGACCGAGGAGGCCGGCTGCCTCTGTGCCGCCTTCACCAATCAGGCCGGTGGGTTGTGGGTGAAGCATGCAGGTGGGGAAAGGAAGACAAGAGCACTATCTTGATTTGCATCTCCAATCCCAGGGCATCCCTTCAAACCCAACACCCTCCTGAACAAAGCCACGTGCAATGTGATTGCATCCCTCGTTTATGCCCGTCGCTTTGACTATGATGACCCTTTCCTCAATAAGATGCTGAAAACATTAGAAGAAAGTATGGGACAGAACACTGGCCTCATTCCTGAGGTATGAGCTCAGGGGAGTCTACAGGGCCACCTCTCTGCTGTTGATCCTCCCAGAAAGAAATCAGCAAGAGCGATGGGGAGAGCGCCCTCTGGGGGAGCCAACTGCAAAACACAAGCCTTGGGATTAACAAACCTCCAAGAACAGGAGGACCCCGTGAACCGAGGTCAAAGTCTAAAATGGGTTAGCACCTGTGCCCCCTGCCCAGCTGGAAGCCACACCCTCCTGTGAGATTTCCAGCTCAGAGTATTCCTTCCATTAACCCAGGGCTACAAGAGGGCCGACAGGTAGGAACTGAGAAGGAGGCAGAGGATGCTTGGGGACAAATAGGCCCTGGGTCCATTGTGGAGGAGGCTGGAAACTGAGACAGGTCCAAGTGAACACTGAGCAGAGGAAGGAACCCAAGGGCCATGAAGGTGGTCGGTGCGTAAAGGTCCTTGCCGAGCAAGTCTGGCAACCTGAGTTGGATCCTTGTGACCCATGTAAGGTTCAGAGAGAATCAACCCCAGAAGTTGTCCCTCAGTGCCCTTGCTGTTGCACTTGTACCTGCACACATTATACATCCAAACACACATCAATAACAATGACAATAATACAGTTATCTATTTATAAAGAAGCAGCACCCAGTAATCCGCTATGACTTTCACAGATGCTGAACGCATTCCCGATGTTCCTGCGCATCCCAGGCCTGGCTGACAAGGTCTTCCCAGGACAGAAAGCATTTATGGCCATGCTGGATGAGCTGTTGACTGAGCACAAGATGACCTGGGACCCTGCCCAGCCACTGCGAGACCTGACTGATGCCTACATGGCTGAGATGGAAAAGGTGAGGGACTGGGTGCTGTTCTAATGAGTTGTGAGGCCAAGGAGGGTGTGTCCTGCATATAACCCAGTGACCCCACAGCTCACATGCCTGGGGATATTAGATCATTGTGTGTCTTCTAGCTCTCTCCCCTGACCTCATTCTATCTTCCTGGCCCAGGCCAAGGAGAACCCGGAGAGCAGCTTCAATGATCCAAATCTGCGCCTGGTTGTCTCAGACCTGTTCAGTGCGGGGCTGGTGACTACCTCCACCACCCTGTCCTGGGCACTACTTCTCATGATTCTGCATCCGGATGTGCAACGTGAGTCTAATAAAGACTTAGAAGGAGGGTGAGGGAGATAAGGGAGAAGCACACTCCAGGTTCAATTAAGATAATTGTGGCTCCCAGCACTGGCTTGTGATGGCTGACTGTGCTGGATAGCTTTAGTGTCAACTTGACACACCTGGGTTGAGGGAGCCTCAACTGGGGAATTGCCTCTATTGAACTAGTATTTCGC